TTACGTGATTGAGAGGTATACAAAAAACTTCTGGAAAGGTCGCTACTTGGTTGATCGCTTAGGTGTGTCTTTTCGTCCACCCACGCAGCCAGCACATTCTCTAGCAACTGTCTATTTCCTTGCTTGAAGGAGGGGAAGAAGGACTGCTCTGACCCTTGTGATCTTGTACTGGGGGGACGGGAAGTTCAAGGAAGCAGAGCTGAGAGAGTTGGAATCCACTGCTTGGAAACATCATGACTGTAACTGTTTGTGCAAAAATGGAAAGAAATAATTTGCTGGGCAATGTACATTTGTTTGATCTGGATTCATTATTGAAAGAAATTTGAGTGTTCATTTCTACTTTAAGAGACATCCCCGAGTGGTCGGATTGTACTTGCACAGCTGACCACCATTGGATGTATGTAGGTACCTTTACATTACTTTATATTATTAAAGGATCACTTTCCCATCATAGACAGCAGCAACAATAGGCTGAGCTCTGCTGAACAGTGTAGTGCAAATCTTGCCAGTAGAAAACAATAACTTCAGGGGAAAAAAAGTCAAAAATAATAATGAATGACACAAACACATGGGAGCTCTTGCCTTTTATTAAGCAGCATGAGCCATAAAAAATAAACAGTTTTCAAAGTAATAATTCATTCTAACAAACTTGGCATCTGTTAAAAAGCTAATATGGTACTTCTAATAAATAATGAATAACGGGGGCTGTTGTGTGAGTTACATTTAAATATCAGCCCCTGAATTTTGGACACTGTTCATGTTTTTGTTTTTTTGGGGGAGATAAAATATTTGTATTCTTTCAGTCATTTTATGAGTTTTATTTAGTACCATCTGCAGAAGACGCACACCGGTCGTGAATCTGTATTTCAAGCAGGAGGGAAGTCGGGAAATGTCCTTGAGAGATGTGGCCAAAACAATGGGCAGCAGCTACTTCTGGATTCTATTTGCATCCTTTGTCTCCACCAGACATGTATTACCATTATTTATTTTGACTAAGTAGACATTATTCACTGCTAGCTCAGCGCCCCACACTAATTCCCTGTGGCTCCCCACACTGCCTCCCATATTACAAGCACACAGCAATTTCTATTTGCAATAAAACTGGCGTATGTTTTCCCAGGAAGGTACGTAGACAGATATATTATTTTAACTGCACTGGCACATAGAGATACATGCTTCATTCTCCGGTGAATTATGTTGCTAGGGAAAAGTTCCAAACCTTTGCAGTGAGCGTAGACACTCTAATAGAATACATTTTGGTACTAGGCCATATATAACCAAGTGCTAGCGTATAGAAGACACGTGTCCAAAAAAAAAAAGATTAGTGTCACAGAGTGCTTGAGCCCTCTCCTGGCAGGTGCAGAGCCATAACACCTTGTAGTCACATAGTCACATATTTGACGGATCCTATACCAGCATGGTCTACTTTGTTCTAACGGGGAAAAAAAGCTTTAATGATCACCAAAGGCAATTAGATAATTTCCCAGATCAACATTCTGGAATGCTATCTCTTACGTATGTTAGCAGCTGGTTATGTTCTGTGTATTTAGAGCAGCGTTTCTCAACCATTTTTCAGTCAGGACACCATTTAAATGATTGCAAAATCTCGAGGCACCCTATTCTAAAATGTAAATATTAAAAACAAAATGTGTGTCCCCTGCCCATGCCAGACCCTTATACTAGATAGGGGTCTAGTATGAATTTTAAGAGGGTACCCCATGCAAAAACACAGACAAAATCGGATTCCACTTTCACATCAGGGTCCTGCTTTTTAAATTAGGTGCCCCCCTTCACAACAGAGCCCCCTCCCCTTTCACATCAGAATTCACTCCTTTTAGATCAGGAGCCCCCAATCCCATTAGGATTCCACTTCACATCAGAGTCCTCCCTTTCACACTAGGAGCCCTCCTTCACATAAGATCCACCCTTGTTTCCTTTCAGAAGCCAACCCTTAACATCAGGTGCCCCCCTTTAACATCAGAGCTTCCCCTTCACATGATCAGCCACCTTCACATCAGAGCTCCCCCTTAACATCATGGGCCCCTTCACATCAGAGCTCCCCCTTCACATCAGAGCTCCCCCTTAACATCATGGGCCCCTTCACATCAGAGCTCCTCCTTCATATCAGAGCTCCCCTTCACATCAGCAGCTCCCTCCACATCAGAAGCCTACCTGCATCATGGAAAGGCATGATGCTGTGCAAAAATCTCAAAGCATGCCTAAGGAAGCCAGAAGGCCCCCTTAGGGTATCACGGCACCCTGGTTGATAAAGGCTGACATCCAGCCCTTTTTTGAAGTAATACAATGAGGAACCAGTTTCTGTGGAAGACTATTATACGTTTTTACAGCTCTTTCAGTAAAGAACACCTTACATATGCAGACAGTAAACCGGAATTGTAGGCAGATATAAAAGACACAGATTAATGTAGCTCTGTAATCATTACCACCTCATTAAATATATTTTTGGTTCAATACATTTCTATTCGTTTTTTTACAGTTGAGATCATGGCTGGCTCCGCCCAGCTGTCATTTACGGGGTGAAAGGCCGGCCTTTCGGCAGGCCGTTTGTCCCGCTGCGGCTGTCACTTCGGCTCAGTCCAGCCGAAGCATATGCCTTCGGCTCGGTCGCCTCCGACTAGTGTACGGGCTATAGTGAATAGCCCGTACAGCAGCCCTTCGGTACGACTGAAGCGAGCTGGAGGATCAGCCGAAGCTACGATGCCCTCTGTCAAACCCCCACCCCTCTCTGCAGGAAGGGGGGCGTGCAACAACAAGGAAGAGAGCACCCCCCTGAAATGATGAAAGATAGCAAAGAAGCTAAAGCTTCCCTTGATATCTACTGTCCAAAAAGCATTGGAATGAATAGCTACATTCCTATTGGCTATTTCAATTTGCAATAGCCAATAGCAAGCTGGTTATTTCACCTGCCCTCTGCTGCTGTCAGTCAGCAGAGGGAGGACCTGATATAGAACTTCAAGCCCACCCCTGCTGATTGACCGCAGCAGTGGGCGGGTGCAATAGCTAGTCTGCTATTGGCTATTGCAAATTGAAATTGCCAATAGCAATGTAGCTATTCATTCCTATGCCGTTTCTTTTCTGACTGATGGTGGCCGACGGCCGCGGTCAAGAAAAACAAAACAAACAGATAGCACGGAAAGGTTTACTCTGCTAGATAAAGCACAGTAAACCTTTCCGGGAGAAAATGTTTCTCTCCCGGGTGTCCGGGAACCGCTATCTTATATAGCGGGAGACTCTCGAAACATCCGGGAGAGTTGAGATGTCTGACCTATACACAACTCATGTTATACAGAGCATAATGCACATGTGGTGGTGTGATGGGCCCTTAATACCGGTACCAGTGACAGACTGCATCATATAATATAATATGTCATGTATGACTGTGTATCATAGTTCCACTTCAACCAGCACAGTTGTTAGTGAATTGAGCCCTCTGTCGCTATGTACTCTTTAGTATTTTATCGCACATTGCTGGTATGTTGTTAAATGCAATCACAATGTTGTGTGAAAATTATCCAGAAACAAGTTTTTATGTCGTGACTGCCTCTGGAAAACTGCAACTCCACACACCCATTCCCATAGCAAAGGTGTGGTGTTCAGACTGTATGAATCAGCGCTATCATACTATCAGAGCAACTGATACATAGCCAACTCCGTGATTATAGAAAATCAGCAAAACTTTATCAAAATGACAGCGAAACAACCAAACCGGAAGTGTGCTTGTTCATATCACCCCCCGCAGTAAAATTGCTCCGCAATGCATGCTGGGTGTTGTGGTTTTCATGCCAACTCGCTCAGTACGCTGACGCCTCAAAAGACTACATTTCCCATGAGCACCCGGTGCTCAATCCGCAACGAGAAGATCGCCGTTTGTTTTCAATGCTGCAGGTGGAATTTTTCAGATTGGTGTGTGCTGGAGGTGAGTGTGACTTTATTTTCTGAGTGTTATGTTCTTGCAATGCAGGTATGTTTACAGAAGGCGCTGGATATGTTATGCCCATTGTTTTTCTTTAGTGCATTGTTGCAGCATGTCCAGGAGACATCTGCAAAGACTATATGCCTATCCATCCTGCCATGTAATGTGTAGTTATGTTACAGCATCCTGAATCATTTGTACAACCAGCCCGGTTGCATTGTTTTTCCTATAGTTTTTTTTTGCATCCTGAGCTGCACCTTTTAGGCCTGCTGTAATTACTCTGTCGGTTTACTTATTTTTCTCATTGACACAATGTCAGTATTTTCTGCAGAAATTTACAGAACATGAAACAATAACAGTCTCTGCCACTGAAAGAGCTTACCATCTAATATCTCTATAGAATCATATAAATAAAGAGAGAGATTTGCATAGCTTCACCCCCAACCCCTTCTAATAGTGATTAGGCATGACAACATATTACACAATCCCTAAGCACTGTCCAGGGGGGTACCTAATGTCTCAATACCTCTTAAGTTGGAGTATTTGCAGATGTCTATCAGTACAAAGAATAATAAATACTTCACCTTGCGTAAAATATATTTATTACCAATACTGCTTTAAAGGAACATGCAGGTCTGGCCTGTTGGCTTCAATACATATTGTGTCCCTGACCCAATACATATTGTGTCCCTGACCCAGAAAAGGTATGTCAAACAGTAGTTCTGACTTCACCTGCTCCATGTTTGTCCTGGATCAGTTATGCATTCCCAGAAGGAGGTCAGTGATGAGTTTCTAAATGTTTCTCATGGTATGGATAAAAGCTACATTGTAGTGACTTTGATCAATGCTCAGAATATGGGACAAATGCCTCCAGAGATGAATAGGTAAACCCAGTTCTATCCTAAAAATCAACATCTTGTACAATGGGCTGCTAATATTATCTTTGATTGATTTATTTTTTACAGGTCGTGTACAGATTTAGCATTGCGTGGAAAGCATGAATCAATATAGGATTGTGAAGTGTTCACCAAGTCCTTAAAGTCTGCAGTTTGCTGGATATCTGTGAAGTGGCCAGCAATGAATTCTGGTGTAGGCTTAAACCCACCCACATCTCCTGAAGTTACCAGTGAAAGATATTCTTCAAGGGCTGGTAGTGTGAAAAATATCTGCGTGCTTGTCACTAGAAGGGCGTTTGGCTCCTTTCCAAAGTATGGCTACAGTAATCACAGGATTAACATGATCATTTTAAGGAAGACTGTATGTCAGGTAACTTGAAACAAACAAAAAAAGAAATGTGCATTCTTGTTTAAAGGACCAAATCGGGTTTACATAAACAGTCCCTAGCTTCCATTCTCTATCCCGCTAACACCCGCTAACATAATCTAAGCAAAACCCCCACACAGGCAATGGCCTCCCACAATGTAAGTGGCAAAAGAGAAATAATTCTGGGGAAATCTAACAATTTCCATCTTTAACCACTTCAAGACCAGGTGTTTAGACCCCCTTCCTGGCCAGGCCATTTTTCAGTATTCAGCGCTGCGGTACTTTGACTGACGTTTATTCCGTCATGCAGCGCTGTACTGAAATGAATTTTATACCATTTTTTGGGGACAGATAGGGCGTTATTTCGGTGGTATTTAATCACCACTGGGGTTTTTATTTTTTACTATAATTAGGAAAAATTACAGAAAATTTGGGGAAAAAAAAGTTTTTTTTAACATTATGTTAGGAAACATTTATTAAGTGGTATTAGAATTGCACACGCTGTAATCTGTAATCACCTTAAAGTCGGTTCAGGACCAAAGCAGGTGGGGATGAGGTAGGGTTATTAAGCCATCCAAACCAGATCTTTTCAAACTTTCAAGTGCTACCCCTGCAGGTATAGGTAAAGGTGGAACTCCAGCCACAGACATCTATACAAATTCATAAGGGGGAACATTAGTGTGAATTGTTCAGCCGAGTCCTGTTTAGTGTAAAATTAATTCATTTATACCCACTGGTTAATGCACTGTACTCCGGCACTGTGGCTATGAGACCTGTGGCTCTCATACAGTGCAGGGATCCTCTAGTTTACCCACACTTTTCTCTCCCCTTTTCCATTTACGGAATGTCAACAGAATACAAGGCATTCTGTAAATGGACAAGAACTGCGGCTCCCCTACAGTGAAACGATCCTGTTGTTTTTTGCCCATCCTTGTTCATTCATAGAACTCCTTGTATTTTATTGACCGGCAACAAGGCATCTTGTGATTGGACAATGGGAGAGACAAAAGAAGGTAAACAAAAGGATCCCTTCAGTGTATGTGAGCTGCTGCACAGGAAGTAGAGTGCTGTTTGTATTATCCAGCGGGTACAAATGAATGAATTGTATACTAAACAGGACCAAACTGATCATTTAACTCATCACAAGAGCTAACACTTTTCCCTTATGAATTTATATAGATGTCTATGGCTGGAAGTTTAACTAACTGAAGCCAAAAACTTTATTTTTAGTTTTGGATAGAGGGCAGAGGGATTGGAACACCTATTTGTATTGCTGTCTGTGTCTCCATTAGGAAGATTAACTTGTTTTGTCCTGGTGACAGTGAAAGAAAATCCCAAATTTTTTGTTGTCTTCAAAACAAGAATGAATGGGAAATCTTCCAATGGGGACACTAGTTTCGGTGACCCTGCTGACCACCATGGATTTCCCAAACTTACTGTTATGGCTATCGGACAGGAAGCGAAGGAAGCTTATGAGCCCCCCCCCCCAAGTGATCTCAATTTAAGTTAAAAAAAAAAGTTTAAAAAAGTTAAATTAAAATTGCACGAAAAAGAAAAATTACATCCCCCTGCCCCCCCCACCCCCCGCAAACGTGCACATTTTAAACCAAAAACGGTCTTCTAACTTTTTAAGCTGGCTCCTAGATTCACAGAACATTTGTCAAGCCCTGTAATAATAACTATTAGTAATAATAAATAACTGTGCATTTCTCAGGGCGATAATGACATCTGAGGTAGCCAATGCAGAACTTTGAGATGCTGCTCATCTATAATCTGTCCTGAGTCCTGTAAACTTTTTCTAGAAGCTGTAAAAGTTACTGTTAATCTTTTCCTCTGCCTGAGATATGCCAATGGTGAAATTTTTACCATCTTTCACGTCCAATGACATTATGCTTGTCTTACCGAATTCTGTCTAAAACGTCACGCATCATAGTTTTCTAAAGCAGGCAGGTGAAGGTGAAACACAGATGTGACAATCTTACAGCCGTATTCCTCCATGGAGAGATATGAAACTGATACCCGTTTTAACCTGCTGGCCCCTACCTAAAAATTAAATGAGTTTAAGTCGTACAGGCATTAGCTCCTAATTTTCCGGAAGAGCGCTGTAAGATCTGGGCCATTCATTCTGCTACTGCTCTGTGCCAAACTAGCTATCCAAGAATTCTTATACTTATTCACAGCTCACTATCACCTAGAACCTCTAGTGGTGGTGAGTAGAGGACTGTTCGGCTGTAGAAGTTGTTTATATCCTTCTTTCCTATAAACATTTAGAAACGTAGTTAATGTTCACAAATTGTCTTCTGTCTTTCCTTTTAGAAAACCACAACGTTTCGTAAAGTTTGGACAAAACATTCAAAGTCCTCCATCAACTATGTAAATGGAAGAATTTATTTTGCCAACTTTGGGTGCTGTTTTACAAGGTAATGAGTTCAATGTGTAATCATGTCCTGGTGTTCTAATTATTAGGCAGGTTTCAGCATTACAGTATGCTGATATGAGCTGTGGTACCCTTTTAGTAAACGTCTTCATGGCCTCAAAGGGTTATCACCTCACCATGGCATCTCTCTGATTTCAAGTAATGGGGCAGTTCATTGCATGCAAAGCAGAAAGGTATCTGAGGGGGAAAAAAAAATCAATCAAGCTCAGTAAACACATGTTTATTAAGTTGTGGAACAGTGTCATAACTTTGAAGTGGGTCAAAGATCAATGGTAATGTTTATTGCGGCCAGGTCACTATCTGCAAGGAGTTTGCATGTTCTCCCTGTGCTTGCGTGGGTTTCCTCCCACACTCCAAAGAAATGCTGGTAGGTTGTTTGGCTCCTCTCTAAGTTGACCTTCTATGTATGCATGTGTGATAGGGTTCTTAGATTGTAAGCTCGTAAGGGTAGACTAATGTGAATGTGCAACTATGTAAAGTGCTGCGTAAATTGTCGGCGCTATATAAATACCGTAAATAGCTAAAATCTGGGTGTACTGGAAAAAAAACACACACACTTTCCTTCCAAAGGGTTTGTAATATTTTATAGCCACTAATGTGATTTATGCACCCCTGCCAGATAGGTCTGTGACCTTACTTTCCTAACTGCAGTCAAGCAGTACAGGCTGCTGATTAAACAGTGATGGAGTAACTGTAAACTGATTATGTCATTCCTGTGTTCTCACCTCCGTTACCGTGTTAGACTAACAGCACTGTGTCAATAGCTCAGATTGATGCCTCCTCTCAATCTGTGTGCTATGTAAGGGGTTACAGGAATTTAAGAAAGAAAAAAAAGATGCATTCTGGTAGGGAGTCTTGTTGTATTAAAAATTTGATTTTATTTTTAAACACAAAATTGAAGGTGGTGGAGTTCATATTTGAAGTGGAGTAATTTATGTCGGGTATTCACGCTTCTATTTTCTTCACTCAACCTGCCAACATTCCTCCATCAACACTTACGAGCATTGATGGAGGAATCTCCAGCTGTTTCTTTTTGTATTCCGACAGTGGGCGCCGGTAGCTGGCAGCTCATTGGCTGCTAGCTCTGTTCGTCCGACAATTTTCCAACATGATCCTTCAATCAGCTGATTTTGAGGGGAGCTGGTCGGAAAGGTGCCAACAGAGGTACACGCACATAATCAAGAACCGGCCGAAATTCAAAGCATGTATACCTGCCTTTAAACCAACCAATTTAATTTTGGCCTACTGTAGCAAAGGTGCTTTTTGGCTGGTTGTTATTGGTCACTTTACTCATTGTGTTTTTTTTGTGTTGAATAGGCTTGCTGGAGTGACAGAATGTGAATGAGACTATTGATTGTTAAATTCATTATATCTTTGTATACAGTTTTTCTTCCAAACCACATCAACTGTATGAAATGCCGAGATGTCTAAAATCAGAAAAGATTGAAGATGCAATGTTATGTGAATGTCCATTGGTAAGTACCTTGCATTGTCAAAGGAAAGGTTCACTTTAAAATAACCATGTGCTTTTCTTTGGTTGGGTTCCACTTTGAGTATTCACCTGTATATTTATATTGAGTTATATTTGTTTTTTTGTATTAGATTATATATTTTGATTTGTGTTTTTCGATTTTCATGTCCAATACGTTGCTCTGATCAGGGAAAAATATGATCAACTATAATACTATTTCCTGTTCTTCAGGGAGAGCCTCTTCCTCAGCCATCCGATTATACCTCCTCGTTGATCGCCATAACAGGTCACAACTGGCTGCTACGTATTGCTGCTGATACTGGGGAGACATTACAGAAGGTCTACCTTGGGTCATACAGAAAATTCAGGTAACATCTGTTAAAGTCTGTTGCATGAAACCCAATCTCCAGAACATAGTCTGATTTCAGCTTTTATTTTGCACACTGCTCTTCAATCTGACTGGTCATTACTGGCCACACACTCTTCTTTTCCACAAAACTGTCATAATCAGCATTATAATTTAAATACACATGTATATAGCCTACATTTTGTTTAAACTTATTTCCATGTATAATCCTTACTTTAAGCATTTTTTATTTTCTAGCTAACTTAAATGTGATGCCCTTTAAGGCAAATAGAGATTTACTTTTTGTCTGGCACACTTTTGCAGACATTTCAGGTCCTCAGACTACCCTTACATTTTTCAAATACAGAAACTTGCCTGACTAGAAAACCACGGGCCACCTGATCTGCTTCATACCATTAAAGGAGAATTATGAGGTGAGGTGATTTTTACTCAGCCTCATAATCTGAGCCGACCTGTGACAATGAGACTGTCACAGGTCGGCTCAGTAGATCGGGAAGTGAGCGAACACATACCGGCGCTCGCTCACTTCTCGATCCTCTGCCGGCAGAAAGAGGTGACGGGAGGGACTGGATTCCCCGCTCCGATCCTCCAGCGCTGACTGGCGGAACAGACGGGGGAGGGGGCGGCTACAGGTGGCTCTGCCTCTAGATAGGCAGAGCCAGATGTCACTCACGCAGCTGGGTGGATCCAGACATAATTGTCGGGATCCGTTTCGGCTGCGGCGTCTCAGTATACTGCGAGTCGTAGCTCGCGGTATACTGAGCTTTGGGTGACGGGAGGACGCTAGTTTGTGTCCTCCCGTTACCCTTAGGAGAACTATGGGGAAAAGCCCTAACCCTATAGTTCTCCTTTTAACCCTGCGCCTGCTTGAAGAAATTGCTTCTGTTAATGCCGCAGTATTCCTCACCCTTCTAGGTTGTGTACAGTTATAAGGAAGCCATTAGTATGGAAATATAATTGCTGTCCTTGCAGATTTGTTTTTTCTTTTTAAATGCATGCTCCTGGGCTGTGCTCTTTTACCCAGCGTTGGCATTTGGTGAGTAATGAATGTGGATGTGCTGGGTTTTGTCAGGATAGCTAATATGCACTTGGTTGTCCTGAGTCTGTTGCTCATTCAGTAATAAAACAAGGAAATACACATCAGTCCTGGAGTATGTACCTTGAAACACAATTCAGCAATGGCAGCTCCCATGTTTAATGTTTAGGCCAGTTGGGTCAGCCTTACTGCTTCCTGGGTCAATTCCTTGCACATTAAACAGAGATGATGATGTGAATTCATTGTCCAATGAGCAGGATGTAAGCAGAGAGGTGCATAGGAAGCTGCTGCACCAGAAAATAAAGAGTGCCTCCTGTCTGAGTGTGCACGCAGCATAGGCATTTGTAATTCATAAGACTGTCTGAATAGAATAATAAACCTGTGTTAGTAAAATAATCTTTTTTTATTTTTAATGTTTTATTACGCATTACGGTACTATGAGTCCATCCACTTGAAGCCTTAAAAACAGCTGATCATTGGGGACTCTGAAGGGGTGACCATTGTTTGCCGATAGTTGTGCATCTCACAAGTTTTATCTGCGCAGTTATGTTATTTTATGGTAGGAACTCTAGTGTAGTATTTTCCTCACCTTTCAGAAAGCTATACAGATACAACTTCTAACTGTGACAACGGACATCTGATTTGTGACAACAGGTATATTGCCTGGGATGTTCCACAGGAGACTCTAGTTGTCAAGTCTATCCAAAAGAATAGTGTCTCTGAAAGCCAACAGGTATGTGTTTTATCATAAAGACAATGTTATGAACGTTGAAGTTTATTGTAAATGTACTTAAAGTGACACTAAACCCAGGAGTTGAATCTTAAAAATGCACTAAAGAAAAGTGTTGTAAAGTGGTGACCGCTCCAAGCTCACTCCTGTGGTGGACTACAATCTCAGTACAAATTAGTAAACTAAACATTAGATTGTAGTCCATCACAAGAGTGAGCTTGGAGCGGTGACTACTTTACAACACACACAGGGACCATGGGGAAAAAAGTAGCCCCCCTCCAGAAGGAAGGACAGTGTCGGCACCAATTCAGAGATGATTAGAGGATCTACAGCCGAGTGATACACAAATAAAGATACATTTAAAAAAAGTATTCAAGTACCTTAACTATTAACAAAAATGTAACTCCTCAGTTTAGTGTTGCTTTAGGTTGTGTGAACGTTTTAGCAGTTTAGCGGCACTGATCATGCTTGGCTAAAGGGCTGCCAATGATGTTCCATGGATTTGTGTCCTTTCTCAACCTGACTAACTATGTAACTATACATGATTTGTTTGATGGAAGTATTCCTGTTCATAAAAAAAAAAAAAAGATCTTTTCATCTGCCATTGTAAAGTAAATTTGAACCAAATGGGAACTCAGGTTTTTAATTAAGCTGTCAGTACAGCCGGAGAAGAGAACATTTTACACATGAAAATTTAATTTGCTTGGCTTTAATAAAAATGCTCGGGGTGTAAACATTGTACTTGTTTTTTAAAATTGAGTCGTGTTTGATCCTTATATTAAAATGACTGGAAGACAAAAAAAAGAAAATGTTCATAAAGTATTATACATGGTTTATGAGAGCTACCCACCCCTGGTGTGATATGACTGTATAACAGAGGCCGCAATACAAGACTTTTCAGAGCCCTCAGTTCTGGGGGTTTTTTTTTTATCCAAAATTGTGCCCTTTGAGACGGTTTCTTTTCCTCAGCCCATCACAGATGTCAGTGGCCAAAGGGGGCAGACACAAACTAGTGATCTTAAAGCTGATCAACTGATTTGCATATTAGCAGCCCATAAGAAAAATGAACTGTTTTGTCAATTCTTCTGTACATGGTTTTCATACAGCAGTTTTTTATTTTATAGTTAGTAGCTTATTCACATCTCTCTTTATATTTCAGAGCACAGTGCTGTTTTATTTTGCGATCTTCAATGTTTTCCCCCTGACGTTAGTAGGTGTACTGGAGATTGATAAAAAGGTATCTTTATTTTGTCTTATTTCACAATTTGCAATATTTCCCCCGTGACATTGTCACTATTTTTGAGAATGATAAAAATGTAAGTTTAAAGTAGTGAACACAATGATAAATAAATAAGGCCCCATTCACACCAGAGCATTTTTGTTGCGTGTTTTTTCTGCACTGAAACGCATGCAGATCAAAACCCCATGTACTCCTATGTTAATGCAAACGCGCGTAAAAATAAGCGTATTGTTTAAAATAGTCTTTAATCTTCTTCTTTTGTGGAGCTTATCAGCATCTTTTGCTCCATAGACTTAAAAGGAAACGTGCTCATCAGCTCGTTTTTTGCGCCTTTTTTTTTTTTTGCAGCTGAGACTGCTTTTCATTGGACAACTGAAAAGGAGCTGAAAACACATCTTAAAACGCTCTTGCTTATGAACAGAAAATGCCTGTAAAACACACAAAAATGTTTCTACTGAATTGCTATCATTGTTGTGGTTAATGTTTTATCCTGTAAAATGGCTGCCTCGGCTGTGATGTGTCATTATGTCAGGATGACATTTTTGTGTTGTGATAGTTTGTGTTTCTTATGAGGATGACCACTAGAGGGCAGGTTTCCAGCTGTTCATATGTCTTCTTTTTACCAACCATTGTTATAACATTTTGTTGAAAGTGTCTATATCCAGTTATCTTACGAGTAGTGAACATTTTGAATGTCTCTGGGAAGTAAAATCAGAGTAACATAAGTTAGTTTATGTAAGAGTAGTCATGTTCTCCTGCAAGGTTTTCATTGAGAGCCTGTAGGCAGATGACCTTTCATGCCAAAAGCATCTCCCTCTGTGCTGGGATCGCCTCTTTTACACTGAACAGCCTCATGTTTCACGGCTTCCTACCCAACTTAGAATATTATATGAATGTGTAAATAATGTTTCCTCAGATGACTTTTATTTATGCCAATGATAGAACCAAATGTGTGGTCCTAAACTAGACCAGGAAAAGTCCATTCTGCTGCCTATAGGCACAGGCCTACTGTGTCTAATGGTAATCTGACCCTACAAATGCATATGCAGAAAGTCCCCCCATTCTGTATACACAGAGATTGTAACAGCTTGCATGGGACGCAATGACATTGTGGCCAGTAACCAGGTTGCCTGTCTGCTGTAAGGTAGTAGTTAATGATTTCCACTATACACCACCAACAATGGCAGTGCTGCTGGCCTGGATGCCCACACCTAATAAAGCTTTAAGCAGGACCTTCTGTTTGCCAGGGGAGTTTAGCCACCACTGTAATCTGCTGACCGGGATTTGTTCAGACCTGAGTGGTTAATATTGTAGGATATTCACAGAATTGCAATTTCCAGGCAAGCAAAAAGTAAGTGGAGCTAATTTTTGTTAGATTTGCTTACCTGAACCTCGCTCCTCCACCGGTCAGCGCTCTCCTCTTCTCCCTAACTGCTTTAGCTGTGGACTGTCCCTCAGTGTCCTCAGGTCTTATGCAGGTTTATGGAACCTGCATTAGAAATGTCATCAGTGGTCCTTAGACCGCTGAGGCCCAGGGGACAAGAGACTTTGAGGACCGATCTTTGAACCCCAAGGAGCCGACGGGACTGGGGATCAGGTAAGTAAATCTGCTTTGCATGCAATTGTATTTCAAAGGCTGTTGTAACTCTTGACATGTTCTTTTTATACAAGCTGCATGCTTACCAATATTTCATGGCAAAGTCCTGGACTAATCCTCTCCATCCAGCGTTGCCGATTGGGCATTTCAACTGGATCCAGGACCTCTTAACTCCACTGTGTAATGCTAGCATTTATATTAATAGATCCCATAGTAATCAGACAGTGTCCAGCTGCCATCAGTGGCTTCTCTAGTTAATGGATACTGGTTGTCACACTGACCCTTTGTCTTCAGTACTTTAAGTCACTGACTCAGGATATGTAGGAAAATTAGGTATCTCTGACTTGTCACAGACTTGGAAAGTATTAAAAGCAGAGGGTCAGAATAACATCTAGGCAAATTCCATCTTTAAAAGCAGCTCCGCAATAGCACCCCCTCACTTAAAGCGTAGATTACATCATATTTCACAGACCAATGAAAAAACAACATGTTCTCCTACACAATCCAGACACCAGTCTGTAACCTAACCCTAAATCTGACCCTGACACTTAATCCCTCCCTTTTTCTAGCAACTATGAAAAATTGAAATCTAATTTTGGGTAGATTTGGTCCTTGTTGTCCATAGGATTGAGGGGGAGGGTGCTCATGCAAGCAAGTTCTGCAGTCGGCTTGGCACATCAACATATGTAGATATTGTTGGTTCATCAGGGTAGGCGACAGCTTTTCCAATCAGTATGATCAGCAATTGACGGCCTGCAGGCTAAGCCCCCCCCCACTCCCCACCCCCAAAGGTAAGATAATTGCCTAATCCAGCCATCATAAGATGTATATTACAAAACTAACCCATTTCAAATCTAGTAATAGCAGAAATCCCTCGCAATAAACACTTTTTTTAATGCAACAGTCATAATTCTGTCAACTAACCATTTTATTATTCCCTCATAGGTGTTTGGGTCTAATGTAACTGATGCCATGATTTCCAATGGCATGCTGATCGTAATGCACAGTGCTGGACTTGTCCGCCTCTACAGCTTTGAGAGGATAGCTGAGCAGGTATGAAATAAAATATTATCTACTTAAAGTAGTATTAATCTCAATCTTATTTGTAATAATGAATCCAGATCAAACAAATACACATTGCCCAGCAAAGTATTCCTTTACATTTTAGCCCAAGCACTTAGTCATCTTGTTTCTGAACAGCTCCAACTCTCTCAGCTCCACTCTCCTGAAGTTCTATCCAATCCAAGATCACAAGGAACATAGCCTTGCTATGTCTGTGTGTTTTGTGGAGACACACACGGCTTAGTAGCACACACAAGTGTGGCTCCATAGAACCCTGCAAGTCAGAGCCACCCTAAAACAGGATATTGGGGCCAGTGCTCAGGGGACAAGCTGATTCTACACAAAACTGAAACTTTTAAACATCAAAGTGCCACGTCCATTGTATGTGATTTATATCGGCAATGGAAATAGCCTAGCTTTTGACTTTTAATATCATTAAATGATGTAATGTGAGATGCAACAGCCATTTGTAGTCTCCATAGGAAGCCTTTGTGACAGGGTGGCAATGTAGGAGACGGTCAGAGCGTCGTTACCCTTTACTAGGAAGTGCCTGAATATGCACCTTCATGGCGGGTATTTTAATGAAAGCTAAAGACTTACAAATATTGAGAATAACTTTAATTACACTAACTTTTTAAAATTTGTATGAGAGGTTAGTGTTTCAGTTAACATATAGTTTAACACAAGACAGACAATCCTCTACCTTTTTGTATTGCAATGTCTGTAGCCGGTTTCAGCAAAGTTGCATAAAATCCATCTTCCGCAGTGATGCCCTTTTTTCCTTTCATTTTTTTTCCCATCTTTGCCATTTTTTCTTTCACTCAGCATGATCGGAGGCCATGGCTTTGCTTTGCTAAAGTAGTCTAAGTGTCTACAGCTAGCCCCAGATGGCTATAGATTTATCTTGTTGAGCCCCACATTCTGTCTGTGTATTGTTGTTTTTTAAATGATTTTGGCTACAATAAAGCAAATGTAGATCAGGAATTATTATGTAGCCTTAACCCTTTCGCTGCCAAGCCCTCCGGAACATTTTTCAAATCAGCTGGCCAACGTAGCAATCTATTACAACAGAAAGACATTCCACAGCTGTGAGTTTCCGAGAAAAACAAGGTACTGCTGCCATATGTTGCTGAAATGACTTACTGAAACAATTGATGCCAGATTTCTGGGTACTGGATTTCATTTTTCTTTTAAATAGCAAGAGGCCATTACATGTTTTTCACATAGCTGGTGATAGTCTAAGGCAGGGCTCAAATTTCAAGTCCTGAGCTACTAGCCAGGCCTTAAGAGTCACTAGCCACCAGTTGCCCCACCTAACCCTTACCCTGCCCCGGCCTTAACTCCGCCCCCAAACACACCCTCTTAAATAATTCTATGATTCTTATCTTGTGATAGTTGCCGCTTGTAAACAGCAGATTAGGGATTCCTGCTGCAGGAAAACGCAAGTTCCTGACACAGGAATCTCTACTCGCACCTGAAATATACTGTAGGTGTGAATGGGGCCTAATATACACATACACTAAAGGTGTCCATACACCTGCCGATTATGGTACGATAATCGTGGGTGATCCTGCAATCGTATGATAATCGGCAGGTGTATGGGCAGCGTGCGACCGCTTCTACTGTAAGGTCGTACGACTTTCGTCTTCCAAGCACGCTGGAAAATCTGCCGAAAATCGTAAGATTTTTGGCGGGTTGGTGGCGTGGTCGGAAGACGAATGCTGCATGGGCCGGACCTTACAACGGGTCGGACCTTACAACCATCGCACAACGAAAGTCGGTTGTGGTTGTAAGGTGTATGGCCAGCTTAAAGCATAATAATACACTGCTCATATTAACCCCCCAACATAAAATAATATGCTCCCCCCTTATTAACACCACACACACACACACACACACACAAAATTATAATACACTCAACCCCTTCCAGCATGTTTTGGAGTGTGGGAGGAAATCGGAGTGCCCGGAGGAAACCCACGCAAGCACAGGGAGAACATGCAAACTCCTTGCAGACCTAGCCTGGCCCGGATTATAATCACTCTTAAAGAGAATGTCATTGTGCTTTCAATTTTATTAGGTAAACATGTAAATTTAGATCTGATTCTCGTTAATAATCTTTTTTTTTGTGTGTTTATTTGTAATTACGTATGTCATTGGGAAGTAGCATTATTTGCTCATTAAGATATGCAGGATTCATTTCTGCCTTGCAAGGATTGTGCTTTACTGCTCTTTCTTACAATGCAAGTCTGTAAGTCAGCCAGCACATTAAAAGCAATGTGCTCCTGGCGTGTCTGATATCTTATCTGCACAGTTGTTAGTAGACAAGGCCCTCTCATGGCATATTTTGACAACAAAAATATTAAAGAGTAAGCTTATAAAAAATGGTAAAGTCTTCTAAAAAAAAATGCTATAACAAGGAACTCCAGGAATTCAGAAAACCTCGCCTTGGAGTGGGGCTACCCTCACACTGCAAGGATTAGGAGCTTCTTTTGTCTAGGGAGCTCAAATAAAGTGGATATACTGGCCTGATTCTCGATCCTACGGTGGTCAGCGCTCGCCTCTCTCCCCCTTTGCTCTGGCTATGGACTGTGCTTCAGTGTACTTGAATCTAATGCAAGTCAAAAGACCTGCATTAGATGTGATGACAGGGGGATCTTAGGCTGCCGGAGCCCAGGGGAGAAGAGACGGTGAGGGTCGTTCTAGCACCCTGGCGGGACTGAGGATCAATTGAGTGTATCTGCTTTATTTGAGCCCCTAGGCAAAATTAGCACTCATCCCTTGTAGTGCGGGGGTAACCCCACTGCAAAGGTATGTTTTTTACATTCCCAGAGTTCTTCTTTAAGGTATTTACTGGACGCTGAACTCCAGGCAAACCAAACACAGATGAAATCTAAATATCTGGGCCATTTACCTGCCAAAGGGTTTGCACTTCTGTCCATATAGTTCTGAAACTTACACAGCTCTTTCAGGCAGCTGAGGAGACCTGATATTTTCTCTGCTGCAGTTAAGACTTAAAGATCTTGTCCCTCTCCTAGCCTGGGACTTGAAAGTGAAGCCTGATTTTATTATTTATCTGTCCCTCTGCTCTTTTCCTCCTATCAGCATGTCTCCTGTTAGCACATAAGCACTACAGCACAATTATTCCTTCTTCTGCCTCACCCCCTCCCAGTCTTGGCTGTGCTGTACAGTGCACTGCAAGAGGTGGATATCAAGTCAACTTTAGGTACTTGCACTGCTTTCATTTAAAAAATAAATGTAGGTTGGATTTACACCTATGCATCAAAACACATGCCACCGGGCAATGGCACACGTTAGAGCCCATTAACACCAGCCCAGTGTGCCGTGGTGTGATTATCACACATGCGTAAACACAGCCCATTCATTGAAGTGGGCTGCCTAATGCACCACTGTGACAAATCCGGGCTGTGTATTGCTAACGCTGGGGAAGGCACTGTGGGTATGTCTCTTTGTTTATCCTCCCATCCCCCATCCACTCCTCCCATCCCCCATCCACACCTATCTGTTAAACTAATCAGCCCATTGTTAGACTCCCAACTCGAAGTGTGTATTGGGACAAAGCAGCCTCCTACAAAGTGGTTGATACCGGTTCGTTCTAGACCGGAGGGGGTGGGCTTCTTTCTATAAAACTCCAATGCTTGGTGTTAATAAAGGCTTGTGTCATTCTGCTTACCTCAAAATGAGTGCTGCCTGATTCTTGAGGTAATGGTAACAGGGTTTGGAATACGTTCCATTTGGGAAGCCATATCACTGACGGAGGTGCTCAGTCGGGGTGCCAGGGAGTCCGTCACAACCACAATGGACAAAAAAAATCATGCATGCAGCATTTTTGGCAGTGCACTTCAAAGCATGTCAGCATGTTGTCTTGCACTGAAAAGTGTGCTGGGAAGGTGTGTTGATGTGGCATTTAGAATTAATGGCACTACATTTTAGCAAAGCACATAACTTGAAATACCGCAGCGCAATGGTGTGAATGGGCTCTGAATGTGCTCTAGAATTTTTTTGCAAGCTCCAGAACTGCATGTAGTGCAGATTAGGTTTCATATGGCAGATTTGTGTGAATGCAGGGAGGGCCTGGTAGTGATCTGACTGTATTGTGTGTGAGCGTGATCTAGTTTTGTCTACAATACAGATAAACATTTTAATTGAGTAAGACTGAACAAAAAGCAGATATGTGGTGCAGATTGCAATAAGCAGTCAGATTTTATTATTCCTAATAAGCTTGTTGCTTATTGGTTGCTGTGGGATATTGCAATGTGCAGATTTCTGTTGCCCAATTAACCCAATTTTCATGGTCTTGCCAAATAATATAAATATTGTAAGCTCATTTCATTTACCACTTTCAGTACATGCAGCAGACGTGTGTCTTGGGGGAGACTTGCACTTGGAAAGGTGAAGCCGGGACAGTTGGAGACTTTCCATTTGGCGTTCCCTGTAACATCACATTGACTGGTATTGTTTTTATTGTATTCTGCATGTGAAACCTAAACTACTGGTGCATTTAGAAGAAATTGAAATACCACCATATGCCTATGCACAGAACTCGACAATACAAAAATGCCTAATTACTGACCGGTGCAATGTGCTGGTAGCTACACTAATGTAACCTCACAGAAAAGAGAAATACACACGATACCTTTCCAGATCACCTTATAATTATGTTGACCTCCTGGCTTTAGTTCTTTCCCAATCACTGACCTAAACAAGTATGCATATCCAGAGTTCTGTCTTTACTTGCTGCCTGCTTATCCCTGGTCAATTTATCAGTAAATTATTTAAGCCAGAGACAGCCTGGCAACAAGAATTTTCAGATGGAGGTCAGCAGTGGCAGCCAATATACAATATTTCTGCTATGACAGGTTGACCAAACACAACTGCCTATGGAAGAAGGTCTTGAGGACCTTCCTGCACTCCCCAATTGCTCTGGATCTTGGTGTGATCTATATGCAAATCTAGTTTGAAGAAATCATGCCTGGGTTTCGCCGGTACTTGGTTAATGTAGGTAATATTACAAGACAAAAAAAAATGTGTAGAACTTTGCGGTGACTGCTATAAACCTGTTGTGTTAGGCACCCAAAGATGTAAAATTAGAGTTACCAATCCAATTATTTTCAGCCAGTAGGAAAATTCCATGTCAGTGAGTTCCCACAGATAATATTGGGCAACATTTCTTTGGGGAATTAACAAATGGGCAGGTTTAAAAAGGCCTAAATGTAGGGATGCACCGATACTAGTATCGGTGCCGCTACTGAGTATTTGGGCGAGTACTCTTATGGTCAGCTTTAATTTAAAACCCAATTGTACTTAAAACAATGTAACAGAAAACTTTTTCTTTTCAAAGTCTCCCCAAACCCAGAATAAGCCTCTAACGCAGGTCCGGAGTCTGCAGCTAAAGACCAGTGTGCTTTGTGTGAGAGCAGCAGTCTATGTACAGCAGTCTAATACTCCCCCCTGCCTTGTCTTCACTACAGCAGTGCCATTGGTGATTATGCTTCCTGCTGATTCCACCACTGTAGCTCTGACAAGGCAAGGGGACTGTCACACTGCTGTACCTTTATAGTCCCTTTACATAGAGCACAGCTCTCTTTAGTTGCAGCTCTGGACTGGTATCAACATTTTCTGCGGGGACTGGGGGAACTTTAAAGATAAAAAGAAAAGGATGTTCTACATCATTGTTGCTGTTTTATATGCTGACTGGATTTATTGATCACAATTTTATAAAGTAAATTTAGGCTTTAAATTAAAGCTGACCATAGACTCAACAGAACAGCTGGAGTCCGATTTGCAGGCATGATCTTTAGAACTCTGCATGACCTACAAAGGTGCAATTGGGCTTTAGTATAGTTGCCAAAATGGCAGGTTGGGTTTAAGGATACAGTTCACAGCATGTTCTACTTTCTTCTGGCCCATTTCTTGTAATATTACTCCTAAGGTTAAAGCATCTCTCCCTTGTCTGACTACAGTATTCTAGCAAGCTGGAATCTGCTTGCCATTGCTAGTGCACATCACTGCCATGTTATTATATCACGTCATGAAATCAATCTGGTTTATATGGTGTGTCCTTACATATGCTACAATGTGTAGGTGATTCGAAGTATCTTCTTTATGTAAGAATATGTAACGCCTAAGGGATTATGTTTTTTTTTTCTTCTTCTATAGAAAAACCTCCGTTTCTCTTTGAAGTACCTTGTCTAGAAAATGCTTTCCAAGTGGGTGGCTATCCCTGGCATTATATAATTACGCCCAACAACAAAACGCAGAAAGGCACCTATCACATCCGCTCCCTTGATGATCACAGCCCTGTAAGCACATTTTTTTATTATTATTTTGGTTTTATCGGTGCTTGACAAATTTGAGAATATCTGCCCTCCTGCTTTTGGATTCATTTTAAGCAACAGCAATAGTGCTACTACTTCTGCTTTTCCACAAAACTGAAACCTGATGGGAATGGGAGGCGTTATACCCGACTGACAGCTTTTGTTTGCCAGTGTCCAATCTCCTACAGGCAGCAGGATAACCCAGTTGTCTTACAATCCTTCTGATCCTGTGTTCCTCAATGAACTCCAAGAAAAGGTTTTTAAGGAGTACAAAATTACTGTTTTAATGATGCATTAATAATTGCAAAAAGTTGTCTTTTTGTTTTATCTAAATAGAGTTTAGCAGTGATATTTGATTGGATAGGATACTATATGGTTATTGCTAGGGATATACCGATACTAGTATCGGTGCCGAGTATATAGGTGAGTACTCGTATGCTCCTGTATCAGGAAGCCGGGCAGCGCGTCATTACATGCTGCCCAGCTTCCTGATTGGACGGGAAGCCCGCTTCATGCTCCCTCGTCATCTCATGTCAGGGTACCAGCCGTCTTGCCACTCCTTGTGGTTGTCAAGTGCGTCATAGGGCACGGGGGTCTCCTTCCTGGCAGGACTCCTGGCGCCAGGGTTGCAGGTACGCATGTGCGGCGGATGTGCGCGCGGTGGACATGGTGCGTGTGCTCCCGTGCCCATTAGTGATGTCAGGTGTGGGCCTTGCTGGGGGAGGTTCCCAGCACACACCCTCTGCCTTTCTCTTTGCCATTGGCTCCTGGATGGAGAAGCCTCCTGGTTGCCTCAACAACCAGTGGGTGGTCTTGGTTCCCCATTGTGTAAATCCCAGTCAGTGCCCTGGCTCATTGCACCATATAGGTAGAATAACTCGGCAATCGCCTAACCCTATCTGAACTCTATACCGAAATACCGGTATCGGTGCACCCCTAGTTTATTGCTTATTGCTCTTCTCCTTATCAACTCAACCAGTGTATATATAATTCCTTTAGCATACTAGGATATTTGTAAGTTCAGACTTCATTCTAGTGTTTGTAAATGCCTCAGAGCATTAGTGGTGTTCATTTTCAACTGGGCCAGAAGAATCATTTGCTGCCAGATGTATGACACAAAGCAAACAAAGTAAAACCGTGCATTAATTTAATGTATTAAGAAAACAATGTTTGGGACAGTGACAGTTATGATGGCAATGCAAACCTTTTTCTTGCCAGGATGGCTGTATTAAAATTGAATATGATGTTAAAGCACATCTATTGTGAAAATGTAATACGTGTTTATTTAAAGATATAACCTGCATGATATAAAATGTGCTCCGAACAGTACCATTTCTGTAATAAGGGTTATTTTGAATCCCTCGGGTGCCTAGTCATACGGTCAGCACTGATGCATTGGTCACATGGTTTGTGTCTGAGGATCTTGGCGGACTGGTGGTTTGGACAGAGCTGGGCAGTCAGGAACTCCTTTAAAACAATCTCTAAATCAAGTCTTCCACAATCTTCAATAGTGACCATACCTCAACACTGCTCATGCGAGTAGAAGGATGCTTATTTACCCAAATAGGAAAAACGGTAGTGGCATATTTTAAGTACAGGTTCTCTTTTTTTTTTTTTTTTGAAAAATCTTTTTATTCATTTTGCATAGTAAACAATTACATTACAGTAACATCTCTTTAAAAACATTACAGCACAATTAAATTGATATGACTTAGTACATTTCCTAAGCTATCTAATTACATAAAATGTTGGTTGAATGTACAATCTGTTCTCCAGATAGACTCATTCCATGAGCATGCACATTTGTTTTACCTTAACATAACTGTACGTGTAAGAAAGTGGTCTGGTGATCCTGGTAACAGCCTCAAAGCAGAAATCTAGGCAAAGAGAAGAAAAACATTTCTTCTATCTATTTGTGTGTTCATTACAAATAGAATATATACCGAATGATCTAAACCAAACCTTTCTGATCACCGGCCACAACAGAGACCAGTACAAGTCCATTGAGGTCTACAAGGGCTTATTGCATAGCCACAGCAATTTCTGAACAAGGAAGCCAGGTTGGGGTTTTTTTCTAGATTAGCTTAGGTTAGGGAACTAATGTACGAATGTAGTTTTTACAAAAACTAAAGGTACATCATACTTTCAGAAGCATAGAAATATCATAGCCTACCTGCTAAGTAGATCAATTTCTCACCCAGATATTCCTGTACTGTACTCGCCACTCCCTTTTTTTTGTCTAAGTGGTGATGCTGGAACACCGTCCTCCCTGTCTCTCTCACGCAGGGAGCCTGTCGCTTTCCGCCTGGTATTGCTCTTTTCATTTTTTTCCATAACTCCTTTTCCAGTTTTTTCCTGACCATTCATGTATATTTTATATACTGCAGGTGAAGAATGGCATACGTGATCTGAAATACTGTTCACTGGAACCTGACTGGATTCACTTCCATCCAGATACATCTGAAAGAATAATTCACGTTGGACCGGATCAGATCAGGTGAGGATGGCGAGGAATTGTTTTGTATCTTCCAGGATATGAACACTAAATATTTTTCTGTCTCGTTACTGTGTGATCTCCACGACTAGATGGCTATTGATTAGTTTTTACATGTTTTTGCTGTCTCCTGAATGCCAAACACCCCAAAGAGTGGTCTGGATGCCCTTGGGGACCACGTGATTGCACATGCTAAGGACACATTTCATAAAGTGACCATTTGCCACTTCCTCTGCATTGGCTGCCCTGTAGATGTGTAGTAAATGTCAAGCAATGTAAAAACATATAAATAGGAAAAGTGTTTTTATATCCTTGAAACTGCATGATTAATCAGTTATTTTACATTTTAAATGATGGTTAACTAAAGAGCAGGGTTTGGCCAATGTTTTTCGGCATGGAAAAGGTGGGCCTAGAAATGGCACTGGAATGGAGATAAAATCTTGACATTTGTGAGGACAGGCTTCCCACTCCAAAAAAAAGTCCTGTGTAGAGTTTCTTATAATAGACAAGGGCACCATATTTTGTCCCAAAAGTGTTCTTTGAAAATCAGCTAATATGCGTTTTAGCAACTGGATGTTGATTGTTGGATGTTGCTTTAGCAACTGGATGTTGATTGTAGAGATCTAAACAACTCTACCATCAGAAAAGTTCTAGATAGGATCCCCATCACTAAATAAAGATAACAATGCACACACTGCCAAGGCAGGATGCAGTGGAGCTCTTTTAAGCTTCTCTGATCACCATTCTTTTAAGTGCTGGATGGAACTCCAAGCAGACCTACCAGAGTACAATAACATTGCATTTTTACTTTTTCCTCAGTTTCTCAAAATAAAAAAAACCCATTAATAAACAGTTAATAGACAAATCTATAGGATTAATTTGCATATGAATGATTTGGACTTCATCTGAAATAATTTGCACAATGACAGCGCCATATAGATATATACATACAGCAGACAGATCATGTATGGTTTAACATTCCATTCCCACTTTTTTTCATTTTCTTTTTCAGGATTGGCTGTTGCTAAATGGCAATGGTACATAATTTTACTGTATTTTGTTTTGCTTCTTGGTATTTTGCTGCAGTGTTTTAAGGATTAAAGAGCTGGAAAACGATTCATACCAGTATGGGATCACGGAGGACTTCATTATTCTAGCCATGCGAGACGCAACGGTAAGCACAGTGTTGTATATGGTCAGTACTGTGAAATCTAGTTCATGAATTCTTATTCCACTTTGTGTCCTGCTTTTGGACTCCCCTTTTAAATGTTTATATACCAACACATGTGGAACCAACAAGGATGTGTACTGTACTAAAGTAAAACTATGGTGTCCAGTGTAAAAAAAAAAAACAATTGTGCTACAGCACTTAAATATAAGTGCATTTACAGTTTTGCTTGGTACCACAGATCCCTGCCAGTGGAGTCTGCCTAATTCAGCTACCTGTGTTTGTGTGGCAATTATGCTGCACGGCTCCTGAATTCAGAGCAGATTTGCCACTCTCATGTAGGCTGTGGCTGCTTCCACTACAGTGAGATAAGAAAATGTTGCAGGCGGTGGGGCTATCAGTACTGTCATTGATGATTCACAATCCTTTATCTTGTCATTTAGCAGCTGGCCACACCTAGTCCTGCCCACTGTATTATGGATTGACAGCACCACCTCTGTTGCTGAGTATTGTTTTCAAATTAGCTGCCCTTTCTGCCTATTTAATATTTAAACATCTGATTTGAAATCAAGGATCTGACAATCCAATAATTTTGTGTCTTTGTACCTCCCTAACCATGGTATCATGCAATTTTTTTTATTTTTTTTTAAGAGTGAAATAGCTTTTGCATGTGAATTAAAATGCATTATATTGGGGTAAACCATTTGTTAGTATTGTCTGACTCTGGTGTGTTTTTGATTTTACATGTTTTACTAAACTGAAAAAGAAAGAGGAAAGACCAGAGAGCCCTTTTATAGTGTATTAATATGTAATATTACAATACATTAAATCATTCAGCCAAAGAGAGTGTAAGGCCTCATGCACAGTATTTCCGTGGCAAGAACCTGTGGATTCTTGAGGCAGGAATCTAAGGTTGGTCCATACAAATGTGGCCACTGTACCCTTCTAAGTTAATGATAAGGTGGCAGCAGCCGCGTCCGTCCATGGCTGTCTGCATGGAATCGTACATGGAATGATTACCAGCGGATCGGGAGAGATGCTTGTCCTTGGACGCAATCTCTCTGCATCCCGCATCAAGCATCTTTCCTGATCCCCACACTTTTGGACAACCACAGATAAATGCAGCCACTGTCACCCTGTTATCAACTTGAGTGGCCGCATCCTAAAGGACTGACCTGGGATTCCTGCCCTAAAATCTTCAGATTCTTGCTGCAGGGCTCTGCAGCCACCTGTGTGCATGTAGCCTTAGGATGGTATCCCTTTCATTTGCTGGCTTGCACAGGCAGCTTTTCACCACTGATAGCTCTGCATGCAGGAGAAAGAAAATCGGTGTTTACACTTTGTACCTGAGAAAGTGACAAGTTGCCCGAAATACGTCATTGGAACTTCTCATTACCACCGCTCTTCATAAATTCCCCTTATTGTGTATTCCCCAACCTCGCAGATGGGAAGCTAGCCGAGAACAGTACAATCTCTGGTATGCACAATAAAGACTTCCTCGTATTAATGGAAATGTGTACTAAGAGAAATATGATGGTTGCCCTTGCTGACCTTCTGCAAATGCTAGTTGCCTGGCTGTCTTTGGATCCGTTCTTTTTAAATCATAGACCTGGAACAAGCATGCAGCGAAGTCCAATAAACATGAAAACTTCTGATGTGCATAGTCATCCCGCGTCAGTAACTAAGAAAGTATTAACGCCCTTGGATCAACAGTCAGACAACAAACCTTTTCCAAACAATTTTGAGCAATTGTAAGAGGAAATTTAAAGGATGTCACCTTGTCTTAGTACAGAATTTCCTAAAATATAAAGTTACACGTTTAAAGATTTTGATTTTTGTTTTTTTTTGTAGGCAAACAATAAAGTTACCGTGACTGCATCTGGAAGATTGGTGAAAAGGCGTTATGATAAGCTGGATGATGATCCTGAACAAGAGGTATAACCTACTACTGCAATAAACTTACAATGATGTAAACTTACATGATCCATGCATACAGTGACATTAACTCCCCATTTTTGTGTGGGTTTCTAACGGGTGCTCAGGTTTCCCTGGGAGATCCAAAAACATCCTGGTAGGTTCATTAGCTATTTCCTGATCTGAAAAAGTGATTTCTGAGACTCAAGTACACTAAAGTTTTACACTCCACTGACTAGAACAGAGACTGGTGTATTTTATGCAGTCTACTTGTTTCAAGCACCAAGCAAACCTCAATTGCACATAAAAAGGTAAATACAAAAGGCAACTCCTTTCCTGAATTAATTGAAATAACCCTAAGGGGTCTATGTATTCATGTTTTGACCCAGTGTTCACACAACTTTCACAGACTATTCACCCACATGGAATCCCATAAGAAAATTGGGTGAATCGTGGGTGAAAATAGACCCCTCACTTTTATGGCTTCTAAAATGTCTATGCCAAATAATTATAATATAATATTAGCCAGGAAATATTAGCCAGGAAAACTCACAGGGGATGAAGGAATACATTTTGACACTTCTGTGGGCAGCACAGTGCCGTAGTGGTTAGCACTTCTTCTTTGCTGCACCAAGGGTCCTCAGTTCAAATCCCAGTGAGGACACTATGCAAGGAGTTTGCATGTGCTCGCGTGGGTTTCCTCTGGGTACCCCAGTTTCCTCCCACACTCTAAAGATATGTTGTAGGGTTAATTAGCTCCTGTCTATACCTTTTTTATGAATGCATGTGAGACAGGGACCTTAGATTGTAAGCCCCTTGAGAGCAGGGACTAATGTGAATGTACACTATGTAAATTATTGTGTAAATTGTCGGCGCTATATGAATGCCAATAATAAATAAATAAACTTCAAGCAGACTTGGCAAATCAGCCTGTGAAATTTCTGTGCACACGATTGAATAACTGATACCAATAGCATGGTGGACTAGCTGACTATACACCCAATATCTTCATTTTGTCATTGTGTTCCTGGCCACACCAGACATTCGAGGCTGTAGTATATGAAGATGAGCTGGATTTGATGACTGTGGTGGCTGTTATTCAGACAGAATCTGAAGGGAAAGCACATGTCAATCTACACTGCAATGACACAGGAAGATTAATGAAGAAGATCATACTCCAGGAATCCTGGGATGTGGTAAGAAACATCTTTGCATCCATTTTATTTCATTCATTCTTATTCTTTATTGCAGTCTACATATGCATTCCATTGCTTGACTTTTGTTATGTTCTGCCCTGTCCCCACCAACCTATTTTCCAATCAGAGTGCCATTAGTGCCCACTGGATTGCTCTGATTAGATCACGGAGGGGGGGCTGAATGAAGGAAATATTACAAATTCCTCCATCATTGCTTACAAGTGCTGAAAAGAGGAGTCTCCTGCTGTCTTCATTGTATTCTGACAGCGGCCGGCAGCTCATTCTCTGCCCAAAAGGGCGTGTGTATATATATATATATATAACTTTTCATGCTATGTTTACAAAATGCACTGCGGCTCGGAGGATTGATGTCGGATGTAAAGAAGAGTTCTTAATGCTGAAAATGTATGATGATGTTTGGTTCAGAATGCTGGTTTTTAAAAGCAATAAATATATTTTTGGACTGCCAGGTTTTATTTATTAAATTTGCCTAGGCTGTAGATGAAAGGTGGAGCTCGGAACAATGCTCTATGGTGGAGCTCAGAATGATGTATTTGTTCCTCCAAAGTATGATGTTATTTGGCAAAGCTGACATGTGCACTGTGATAGATATTTTTTTTTTATAGGTTTACTTTGTCACATTTAGCTTTACACAGCTTAACTCCAGGCAGATATAAAATACACAGAATAATGCAGCTCTGTATTCATCAATACATCATCAAATTTATTCTTAAATGTAAGCTGTAAAATAATTTAAAACTGATTTTGGTATCAGCCTCTTGATGATTGTACAGCAGCCTTTAGTTGGGGAAGAGAGAAGCAGAATAAGGAGCCAATCAGTTATGCACACTGGTAGAAAGAGGGAGCAGAGACATGACAGAGATTATCTCATCATGTGTTGCTTCTCTTTTCACTGTCCAGTCACAGGCTGGGGGTTAGGAGGGGACCTGATAGTTTTCCTGAACTGCAACAGAGAAAAATCAGGTCTCCTGTCCTGCCAGGAGACCTGATTGGAGGAGCAGAAATACAAATCCTTTAACATGTAAAACTGCCTGCTTCTATGCATTTCATATGTGTATTTAGTTGTTTGCTTGGAGTTCAGCTGTAAGGTTCGTAGGTGGTAGAGTGGAGGAATGGTAGTCATTTATGGTTTATTCTATATGGTCTGCTTAAATCCGTTGTAATGTGTACTATTTTTGTTTTCCTCTTGTATATAGAGCCTGGATTATATTTACTGGTGACAGGTTATCAGGTCTCATTTGAAGTCTAATTGTGCCCCCCTTTTTTCTTCTCCCTCTTTCAGACTTACAGCCACATCTTAGTGTTTGATCGTGACACTCTAATACACATAGAGGAACGGCCCAACCATAACTTTTCATGCTATGTTTACAAAATGCACTGCGGCTCGGAGGATTGATGCCGGGTGTAAAGAAGAGTTCTTAATGCTGAAAATGTATGATGATGTTTGGTTCAGAATGCTGGTTTTTAAAAGCAATAAATATATTTTTGGACTGCCAGGTTTTATTTATTAAAATCCTCTTTTCTCTTCTCTAAAACTTCAGAGTGCTGACTTTAGAATAATGACTGTAAATACTTAAGATGCTTTCTGTAACATTTTAAGGAAAAGTATACTTTAATCAAACATAGTATTCATGCTTTGAAATGTCAGTTCAGCCTACTTGCAGAATGCCTACATCCTCTGTACCTGCTAGAATAAACTCTAATTGCCAGTATCCTCATTTCATAGGTCAATATCCCTGAGTCTGATCTTGCGGAGAGTATAGAGGTCATTGTTATTTATGCTTTAATCACTGTCCTCTCTCTGAACGCCCCTGCAAGCCCATGGTCTGATTTCTACGTGTGGGTTTAGAATCTCATGCAGATTGTTAGAAATAATATTCAGTCGAATTCTGCTGGCGAAATGTCACCATGGATGAAATCAGTAATGTTGCGTCAAAAAGTAATTTCACCAAATTCACTTCACTCCACCCTAATTGGAGCCAAGCTTTTTTTTTTTCCCCCCCTACGTGGCTGTGCCATGCTAAGGGAGATGATTAAATGCACACAGGAAATATGGTTTAAAGTAGTAAACTGTTAATCTTCTTTTTTTCAATAATGAATCTAGATCAAATATACATTGCCCAGCAAAATATTTATTTACATTTTTTTGACCACGCACTTATAGTCATAATTTTTCCAAACAGCTGGCTCCCACTCTCTCAGCTTGGCTTCCCTGCAAGTCCTGTCCTGTCCAGTCCAAGATCACAAGAGGCAGCACAGTCTCAAGAAGCTGTCCTATTAACTTGGAGAAGGGAGAGGGGAGGAGCAGGGAAGTGAATTTGCCTCGCTGTGTCTGTGCATGAGGAGACACGCACCGCTTACTAGCACACCCGAGCTCCATAGGACCCTGCAAGGGAAAGGAGCCACCTTAAAACAGGATATCAGGACCAGTGTTTAGGGGACCAACTGATTCTTCAGGAAACTAAAACTTTTAAACGTCAAAGAGCAGCATCCATTGTAAGTGATTTTGTCCGCATTTAAAATTGCTTAAAAAAAACCTGTTGACTTTAAAATCACTTTAAATATCTGTACATGGTGCTGGAGGCATGTGGACTCTGCAGTATCGCACATTTTGTTTTCCACAGAAAGAGTTGTAGCCACCCTGAAGTTATTTCAGCTTGTCTATTTTAGATTCAATAATGCATAAGAAAGTATTTTGTTCACTTAATACCTCCCAAATGTCTGACCTCTGATAGAAACGGTTTAGGCAAAATGTATTTCCTTGACACACCTTTTGGTCATACGCTGGAGTATATACCCCTAGCAATTTTATGTAGTATCACAAGACTATCAATGCTTTGTACAGCATATACAATATCTGCATTTACAGATACCAACAAATGTCACCTCCAACAAAAATCTATAACTACAGGGGAGCTGGCAGCAACACTTTACAGGGAAGACTGTAACATAAAGAGGAATACTGGCAGGTCAAATGGACATCTAACTGTACACCATATTAGCGCAGTTGAAACATCGACAATGTAATGCTGTTGCTTTGACTTCTCTCCACTGCAAGACCCATGAGTACCTCTATACCTACTTTTGGATTTGTATAATTATACATCATATCATTCAATACAAGGACATTTGATAAGGTCAGAGGGAATTGGGACTCAAGAGAGGGCGGAGAGCTGTTACTGTACATCCACGTGTTGGCAGACCGGTCAATGTTGATGTTCAAGCATTTGAACTCCATTTTAGGCCCTTTTTTTTTTTTTTAACACCTTTTTATTACACATATTATCTACCGTGTTTCCCCGAAAGTAAGACCTAGCACTATCTTCAGGGATTTCTGTAATATAAGACCTACCCCGAAAATAAGACCTAGTTCGGTGGTAGGTCTTATATTACAGAAATCCGCTAGGTCTTACTTTAACGGTATATACTTCACGTACATGCTGAACAGTCATGCACTTTGGATATTACCCTAGTTTATTTTTTACATAAGTTACTGTATTACATTAACTTTGAATACACTCCAAGTTAGTTGCATAAATGTTCCCTGTCTACATCTGTTTTGTGTTCTCCATTCTGTAGGGTTCTTCTGATCATTCAGCATCCTTGTGTTAGTGTTTCTGGAAGAAATTATTCCAGCTCTTTCATGACTAGATGACTAGTAATGTTGCAAACTGTATAAATTAAATGCAGAATCCCCCCTGAATTGATACCCCCCCCCCTGAAAGGGTAATCCACTGTGCCTGCAATTTTTTTTAAGGCATTTCTTGAAAATCACAACCTGTCAGTAAAATCGAGCATGCAGCAATGCTCAATGATCTGCGAATGGTCTACAGACAAGCCAAGCATGCGGCTGTGCCTGTAGAAATGCTTATGGATCCGGCTCACGGGAAAAGGGCTACATTGGCTAATATGCACTTTGGCAAAGTTTGCACTTAGGGATGTCCCAATACCGATGCTAGCATCGGAATCGGGCCCGATGATGACCTCTGCTGCCCAGCTGTGTAGGAGCTTGACTTGTACCCTGACTTTGCATATTGCCTACTGCCTGTGTACCGCTGCTGCCTGGCTGTGTCTCATCCGGGCTTGTCTTCTGACCTCGCTGCCTGTGTGATGTTCCAGAATCCTGGTTGCCTGGCTGTTGCTAATCCTGGTCTCCATTACTTTCTAGTTTTCGGGAATGCTGACACCTTACTACTGCATTCAAACCAGGTGTAGGCACCCATGCCACTCTGTGTACTGCATACTCAGTCCCAACTCCAGGGGGTGCTGGACAGGAGGTGTAAGGGACCTTCTTACATCACTTGGCCTAAACAGTGTGTACAGCGATGAAGTGCTTACATTACGATCCCACATCTGGTTTACCCTCTTCATCAAGTCCACAAGTTTGCTTTAAAGGCATACACTATGAGTTTTTATAGACAGAGTGCCTGTGCTAGGCTTGAAAGTGTAAAATAGTCCACAAAAATGGTAAAAATGCAGGGGTTATTCCCTGAGTACATGTAAAGGATGTAGAGGCAGCATGCCAAAGAGAAAGCTAATATGTCTTTGGTAGTTGACAACATTTATACATACCAACTAAAACCCAGGCCTGAAATATGAGAAGAGATAAAGCCCAAGGCAGGTTTTCAGCTACAACATACGCCTATAATTAAACTAATTTATACAGCTCCACAAATGTCAATTAAGACACCTATCAATTTAATTTAAAGCAAAAAAATCTATGCAAATGAAGAAAAAAAAAACTTTGCCAATGTTGTAAAATTCCTATTTTATATAATTGTTCTATTCATCAAATGTAACTTTCATCAAACAATCCTCAATTTGCTATAAACATGATCCTTCAAGGCCATCTCTAGACCTACCACTCTCCTCCCTGAAGCCCCTCACCCCCTACACATATATTTTAAAGGCTCCCAAAATACTCTTTAGGTTGAGAAGTATCCTGGTCCCTCTGAATAATTTGACCCGACAGCATACAGACTTATTGGGGTTGATTTACTAACCTTATAAACACACCATGAACGTGTATACACCTCTGTAGTGTGTTCCCTCCCAGCATGATCTATGCGAGGAATCGAAACACCTTTGTAGTGTGTACACACCCAGCAGGTGTGTTGTGCAAAGCCCTGCAATGAATTGCAAGGTAATGTGGTGTAAATTAGCTCTATGTTATGTTGCTTGCGTTGATGAATGCAGGAATGTAAATGCATGAGCTAACCATTTTTGTCTAAACTGTGAAGCAGCATTATATATGCGTCATGTGCATGATTTTTCCATATATGGCATTAGTGGAAATATGCTTTTAGAGACTTTTTGGTTGATAAATACGTTTTGCTGTGTGAAAATCACACACACCTGGTGCGTGCGTGTGTTTAGGTTAGTAAATCACCCCCATTGGGTCTCCTTGAGTATGCTATTGCGGTGGTCAACTAGAACTATTTAGTACAAGGGTTTATCAATTTACATACTACACATTCACATCAGTCCCTACCCTCAAGAAGCTTACAATCTAAGGTCCCTATCTCACATACAGGGACAATTTAGACAGGAGCCATTTAACCTACCAGCATGTCTTTGGAGTGTGGGAGGAAACCAGAGTACCCAGGGGAAACCCACACAAGCACAGGGAGAACATGCAAACTTCTTGCAGATATTGTCCTGACCGGGATTTGAACCGAACGAGCAATCACAATGTGGACCCGCAGTGCAGCAAGGCAGAAATGCTAACCTCTACGCCCCAAGGACTTGTAGTTCTTAGGACTTGTTCACACCACTTACAGTGCATTCCAGAGTGATTTGCTGCTGGACGCACTTTATTGCATCCTGCGTTCTGCGGTCAGGGGGGCTCGTTGTGCATTGAAGTCAAAGGCACCGCAGCCACGCGGCCCCCCTGGCGGGGAATTCACCCGTACCAGAACGCGTGGCACATTAATGCCTGCGTTCCGGTCCAGTGTGATTAGAAAAAATGCTGCATGCACTACACAGGCATTAATGTGCCACGCATTCTGGTGCGGATGATTGCACTGCGGGGGGGGGGGGGGGGGTGGGGGGCCCATCAAC